CATTTTTTCACACGTCTGCTCTTTTTGTTTTCCATCAGTGTCTCGTCAGCAGCTTGAGTCACTCCTCAGGACCGGCCCGTCACTAAAAGTTTTCATGTTGCTCCAAAGTCCACGACACCTTGAGTGAACGTCCAGCAGCTGCTGGGCTGTGCACGTGCTGGTGATGTCACATGGGGTGCACTTCAGTTACTGCTCTGCTTGACTTCAGCACATCACGTTGCTCAGAAGAGGTGGAGAGGCTTCACGGTGAAACTTTTAATTCATCGAGCGTTTCAGAGCGTTTGAGGCAAACAGGTTGTGAACTTCCTGCTGGAAGAATGAGCATGAGCTTCTCTGTCCGTTCATCTTTACAACAGCTTGTCTTCTTTTGGAGCACGACCTGCCGTCTCTTCTGTCTGCTCCGGTGAGAGCTCGCTGCACCGAGCAGGAGCCTGAAGATCTGATGGTCTCATTAATGGAGTGATGATGGAACACCTGAAGTGGACCTCCACAACACCTCCTGCAGCTCTGCTCCTCAACTCTGTCTCTGGAAAAATGCTCCATGAAATTGATCTATTATTTGAATTTGTCAGATCGAGTCCGGGTCGGGACAGAACCATGACTCGGTCTCGGTCAGACCCAGGTCCACCATTTGGGGATGCCTGGTTTCTCAGAAATGTCTTGCGTTTTACAGAGGACTTGATTTTAAATATGAACGCACGCATGAATAATAAAGGAGGAGATCGTACGATGAACAGAACGTGGTGGTGACGCAGACACTGCGTGAGAACCGGTGAACTACGGAGCCCCGTGAGGGCCACGTAGAGACTCCTGCATACATTACGCGCACGCAGGGGATTTGGTTGGTGTCGTCCACGGCGGTCCTCCATGCACAGACTGGTTTGTGGCTCGTTCTTTACCGAAGATCTCAAAACGTTTCTGTTCTTGGTTTTCTCTCAGTCTCACCGTGACGGACTCTGACGGCGCCACAAGCTCCACTGTGGCCACGCTCTCCGTCAACAAAGCCAAGGACTACCAGCCCGTGGCCAACGCCGGGCCCAACCAGGTCTGAGCAGCACCTTTGTTTAATGAGCCTCGGCAGACCGGACCGGTGGACTCCTGGTCTAACAAACTGTCCTCCAGGTGATCCAGCTGCCGAGGAACTCCGTCACCCTGTACGGGAACCAGAGCACGGACGACCACGACTACCTGTCCTACGAGTGGTCCCTGAGCCCCGAGAGCAAAGACAAGGTGGTGGAGATGCAGGTGAGCCGGTCTCAGAGTCCAGCTGGTGGTCCTTTGGACCGGAACCTCACGGTGTTCTGTTGTTGTTCAGGGTGTCCGAACGCCGATCCTGCAGCTGTCCGCCATGCAGGAGGGAGACTACACCTTCCAGCTGACCGTCAGCGACTCGGCGGGACAGCAGGATACGTCCAAGGTCACCGTCATCGTGCAGCCAGGTCTGGAGCCCACCCGGGTTCGGTTCTGTTAAAGTTCTGCTTGTTTTCAGGTCCAGCTCGATCCTTCGGCTCACAGTTTGAGGTGATCCTGGTGTTATCTGGCACGTTCTGTTTGTCCAGCTGCGACCGAGCTGAGGACCAGAACCCGTCTTTATGGGCTCTGTCCATCAGTCGGGTCCGTTCTCACATGGACAGCTGCAGTCGTTCATGGTGTCCTGACGGACAGAACCGGTCTTTATGGACTGATTATAAAACAAAAACCGTCAGAGGTTTTCTTTAATCCACACCTCCTCTAAGCTTTGGACCACAGAAAGACACGGAGGACATGAAGGACGTTAGGAGGAGTCAAACCTGGACCAGCTGTCAGGCACGGTGGTGGCAGCAGCATGCTGTGGTCCAAAGGGATGAGGACTACCCCCCACACTCTTGGTCCAGTGGGACCGTGAGCCCAAACACCAGAACTTCTGTCTGATGGGGTGAATCCAGCTGCTCTGGCCTTCCTAAAACCCCGACCTGGACCCGATTGGAGACCTGTGGACTCCGACGTTTCCAGGAAACCAACAGAACCTGTTCTGCCAAGAGGGACAGAGGTCCAGTTTCGTCCAGAACCCAGTCAGAACTTTGATGAAGCTTGTTGAGGTCATAGACGTGGGGTGTATGTATCTACAGCATTTGAGCCTGTATGTAAAGTTCTGACCCAGATCAAAGGAAGATCAAAGAAAAGATCAAAGGGAGTTCAGACTAAACTGATGTGTTTTTATAAACCTGTTTAATCTGGATTATAATCTAAGGAAATGAAGACTGGCTCAGCACTTTCAGGGTTTCCTCTGCTGGTTCTGCTCAGATGGTGTCAGCACTGGTTCTGGTTCTGAGAACACACGGACCTGTTGTTGTTGTATTTGTTGACCGCTCCGTCGTCATGGCGACCTCCTCTTCGTCCCACAGAGAACAACCAGCCGCCGGTGGCAGACGCCGGGCCGGAGAAGGAGCTGACTCTGCCCGTGGACAGAACCACGCTGGACGGCAGCAAGAGCCGCGACGACCAGAAGATCTCCTCCTACCACTGGACCAGAACCGGGTCAGGACCTGACCGCTGCTGCCTGCAGCGTCAGAGATTAACAGCCAGACGGGTTTGTTCTGAAAGATGAACTGATGGTGTCCTCCTTTCTGCTGCCTCCTCCTGCTCCTCCTCCTCCTGCTGCTCCTCCTCCTCCTGCTGCTCCTCCTCCTGCTCCTCCTCAGCGGTCCAGACGGGGTGAAGATAGAAAACGCAGACGGTGCTGTTGCCACGGTGACGGGTCTGGAGGTGGGCTCGTACGAGTTCACGCTGACGGTGACGGACGAGCGGAACCTGAGGAGCAGCGACACGGTGACGGTCATCGTCAGAGAAGGTCCGGTTCTGAAGGCCAGGGTTCTGATGAACCAGAACCAGAACTTTGATCTGTTTCATGTTCTCCTTTCCAGAAAAGGACCAGCCTCCTGTGGCTCGGGTTCTGTCCAGTCCACCCGTCTTCCTGCCGGTCAGAACCGCGGTTCTGGATGGGTCTCGCTCCACTGATGATAAAGGTGGTACCAGCTTCCTGTGGACCCGAGACGACAGCAGCCCTGCAGCCGGGGTGAGGCGAGCCTGGATCAGAACCACAACCCAAACCCACAAGAACCGTGACCCAGACCTTCGCAGGCCCGGGTAGAACCTGGTTCTGAAGTTGGTCTTTAATTTGGGGTGGGGTGTAAAATCAGCCATGTGTTTGTTTTTGTTTATTTATTGATTTATTGATTGGTAAACATGATCACTCCAGATGAAGCCTGGAACCAGAACCAGTCCAGACGGGCTGTCGCCTCACAGGTTCTTTCTTTTCCACGACGTTATCAAACCCGGTACTGGGTCTGATACTGGGCCCAGTGCTGGGTCCAGAAGGTGGCGCTCTTAAGCCCCTTATCCACAGGGCCTTTTGGGCTCCTGTGTAACTAGTTCGGGTCGATTGCGTGGTTTATCCACAGTGCCTTCAGCGGTGGAACCCACCCCATTTTTGGGACCTACTTCTCTGAGGTCCCAGGTCTGGTTCTTGTTGGGTCTAGATGTGACATCAGCGCACTGTCGGTCACTGATTGGTCAGGGGGCGTATTCATTGGTGGAGGGCGGAGATCAAGGAGGTCATCCATGTTGGTTGTGTGTTGTTTTCTGGCTCTTCTTCTTCTAGTATGTGTTAGTGGTGCTTAGAAAAGAGCTTAATGTAGCACTAGAGCCACCAGCTGCTAAGGTGCGTTGACATTAATGATCCGCCCACTACAGGTGAACTATGGGCACTGTGGAGACAGAAAAAAAGAGGTCCCACCAGAACCGGACACAACAGGGTCCAACAAGAACCAGCCCTGTGGATAAGGGGCTTTACATCATAGGGATGCTGGTCCCTCTAAGGCTGCTTCCTGGCTGCAGATTGCTGCTGAACCGGGCCTCATCAGAACCTCTTTAGTTTGAATCCACAGGTTACTTTGAGTCAGAACCTTCTGTTCTGTCTTCCTGTCTCCACCTGGTCCAAACAGAACCTGCTGTCTGTTTCTGATCCAGGATGTTCTGAACAACTCGGACCACCAGGCGGTTCTGTTCCTGGGGAACTTGGTGGAGGGAAAGTACTCGTTCACCCTGACTGTGACCGACAGACAAGGTCAGAGCAGCTCGGAGAGGGGAGCAGTGGAGGTCCGAGCAGGTACACACACACACACACACACACACACACACACTGACACACACACACACACACTGACAACACACACACACACACACACACACTGACAACACACACACACACACACACACACTGACAACACACACACACACACACACTGACAATTCAGTAAAGGAGGCCGCGAGTGTACGTCAGCGTCTGTGTCACCGTCTCGACTGTGTTTACTGGTTGTTTACTGTTGTTTACTGGTTGTTTACTGGTTGTTTACTGGTTTACAGCAGGTTTGTCGGACCACACATGAGCGTAATGTTTCCCTCAAAGGTCAGGTGTGACTGTAAGATTAGAAATGTAGCTCCGTTTAACTGAACATAAAATAAATGCAGCTACTCTAAAATAGTTCAATCTGGTCCTGGACATTCAAAAAACTAAACAAAACAAAAAAATGTAGAAACGTTTCGTCTCTCATCCTGAGGACTTCCTCAGTCTGAGGTGCTGTATTCAGCTCAGTCTCTTAAATAGCACCTTCTCAGAGTGGATCAACCAGTTTTGCTGCTGACAACCAGAACCAGCTGATCACATGCTCAAGAAGGACCATCAGCCTAACAATGGATCATTAGCACCTGATGGCTGTTTACTGTTCACAGAGGGCTGAGTGATACTAGCAATCACAGCATTGTAAGAGGGGGACAGTTGAACCTGGAGGCTCCACCCCTGTTTAATGATGGACGGTTTCTTTTCACAAAATGCAAACAGATGATGTGAAAATAAATTGTCCATCATTGTCCCTGGTAAGGTCTATTCGGGGGTTCTGGAGACGATGGTCCGTTGGATAGTCGAACCTTGGATTCACGATGAGCAGTGCGGTTTTCATCCTGGTCCTGGAACACTGGACCAGCTCTACACCCTGAGCAGGGTCCTGGAGGGTGCGTGGGAGTTTGCCCAACCGGTCTACATGTGCTTTGTGGACTTGGAGAAGGCATTTGACCGTGTCCCTCGGGGAACCCTGTGGGGGGTACTCTGGGAGTATGGGGTACCAGGCCCTTTGATACGGGCTGTTAGGTCCCTGTATGACCGGTGTCAGAGCCTGGTCCGCATCGCCGGCAGTAAGTCAGGCTTGTTCCCGGTGAGAGTTGGACTCCGCCAAGGTTGCCCTTTGTCACCGATTCTGTTCATAACTTTTATGGACAGAATTTCTAGGCGCAGCCAAGGTGTTGAGGGGATCTGTTTTGGTGGCCTTAGGATCACGTCTCTGCTTTTTGCAGATGATGTGGTCCTGTTGGCTTCATCAGATCGTGATCTACAGCTTTCGCTGGAGCGGTTTGCAGCCGAGTGCGACGCGGCCGGGATGAAGATCAGTTCTTCCAAATCCGAGGCCATGGTCTTGAGCCGGAAAAGGGTAGAGTGCCCTCTCCGGGTCTGGGAGGAGGTCCTGCCCCAAGTGGAGGAGTTCAAGTATCTCGGGGTCTTGTTCACGAATGAGGGAAAAATGGAGCGTGAGATCGATAGGTGGATAGGTGCAGCGTCTGCAGTGAAGCGGGCGCTGCACCTATCCATCGTGGTTAAGAGAGAGCTGAGTCAAAAGGTGAAGCTCTCAATTTACCGATCGATCTACGTTCCCACCCTCATTTATGGTCACGAGCTTTGGGTTGTGACCAAAAGAACGAGATCTCGGATACAAGCGGCCGAAATGAGTTTTCTCCGCAGGGTGTCTGGGCTCTCCCTTAGAGACAGGGTGAGAAGCTCGGTCATCCGGGAGGGACTCAGAGTAGAGCCGCTGCTTCTCCATGTTGAGAGGAGCCAGTTGAGGTGGCTCGGGCATCTGGTTAGAATGCCTCCTGGACGCCTCCCTGGTGAGGTGTTCTGGACACGTCCCACCGGGAGGAGGCCCAGAGGAAGACCCAGGACACGCTGGAGGGACTATGTTTCTCGGCTGGCCTGGGAACGCCTCGGGATTCCCCCGGAGGAGCTGGACCAAGTGGCTGGGGAGAGGGAAGTCTGGGCCTCCCTACTTAGGCTGCTACCCCCACGACCCGACCCCGGATAAGAGGAAGAAAATGGATGGATGGATGGATGGAATGAAGTTCCGTGAAGTTTCCAGACAGGTCTCCTGAGGGAGAATAGACCTGGAGGTTCTGATCCACAGCATCGAGTCAGAATGGACGTTTTCTGACGTCGTGTGAAAAAAGTTTAATTTAGAAACAAAGAATCTTTGAAATCAGGTTTTAGGATCAGCTGCTGCAAGTTTTACATCAACTTTCACAAGGTTTGATCTCTTTATTGATCCATCCGAGGCATTCGATTGATTATTGATCCATCCGAGGCTTTTGATACGGTGGCTCACAGGATCCTGGTAAATATCCTTCTCCAAAGAAGCATCTTACTGGTTTGGAGATTATTTGGCATATAGGACACGGTGTGTACAGATGGCTGGAGTAAGCTCAAGTTTTCTTGAAGTACAAAAGGGTGTACCCAGGGATCTGTCTCGGGGCCCATCTTATTTACAGTTTACATTACAGCACTGTGTGAAAATTAGCAAAAGACGGTCTCCAGTTATAAGTACAATAATATAACACTCATCAGTGTGATCTCTATCTTAAAACCAGTATGTCTTCCCTGTATAACACTGGATGACTCTGGTGCACGTCTCTCATGCGCCTGCTTCACATTATTTATGCACTTTTATTCAAAGAATGGACAGCATTCTTAGGACATGCCTAACCCTAACCCTAACCCTCACGAGGACTGTTTGCATCTTCACGGTCCTCGTTTGTGAACAGACAAAGGTCAGGAAGCTTTTAGCTTTTCTGTCCCTTCAGCTCGGAGCTGAACTAAAACTGACAGAACTTGTTACTTTGAGGGATTTCTGCAAACTTAAAAAAAATCTTGCCAACCGTGCTTGTTTCAGATCTTAAATTGTCATTGTTTTAAAATATTATTATTACAGCTATTGCCCTGTACTGTCATATTCTATGTTTTATATATTTCTAAGTATCTTGTTACTTGTTTGTTTTTATGACGTGCGCTGCTGCCTGTTCTTGGACAGGTCACTCTTGTGAAAGAGCTTTTCATCTCAATGTTTTTTAATCTGGTTAAATAAAGGTTTGATAAAAAAAACAGACAGTGAAAAGCCTTCGGCTGCTAAAAGCCTTCGGCTGCTGGCGGCGTGCCAGCACATCTGGAGCGTGGAGGTGTTTCCTCCTTCCTGAACAATCATTTAATTAAAATCGTAAATGATGCCGACGTCCAGCGGCGTTCAGCCGGTCGAGGAAACGTCTTGGGACCGGTTCTGACAGACATGAAGCAGTTTGGACTTTGTGTCTGTTGTGCTCAACGACGTGGGGTAAGAGCAGGAAGTGATGTCGTCTCGTTCCTGTTCCTGTCAGAAGTGTGGCAGAAGGACCTGGTGGAGCTGCTGCTGGAGGTCCCCGTGTCGCAGGTGTCGCAGCGTCAGCGCGACATGCTGCTCCGGCAGGTCGGCGTCCTGCTGGGCATGCTCGACGGTGACATCATCGTCAGGGAGATCAGCGCGTTTAACGAGCGCAGGTCAGACGCCATCTTTAACTTTTTCTGTTTCGAGGTCAGGACCACATTCACTGAACTCCTCCTCCTCCTCAGCACCCGGCTGGTGTTCCTGGTGTCGGGCGGTCCGGACCGACCTCCTCTGCCGGGTCGCAGCGTGGCGCTCAGCCTTCGAAACAAACTGCGCAAACAGAAGAACGACTTCCTGATCTTCAAGGCTCGACGCGTGGACACCGTCGGTGAGGAAGGTTGACACGTCTGGCAGGCTGCAGCCAGCCCTTTGATCTGCCCTGTAACTCCTCCCCCTCGTCTTCCTCAGTCTGCCAGATGAACTGCTCGGGCCACGGCGAGTGCGACGCCTTCACCCGGAGGTGTGTGTGTCACCCATTCTGGATGGAGAACTTCATCAGAGCTCAGCTCGGAGACGCAGAGAGCAACTGTGGTGAGGGGGGGTGGGGGGGGGCGATCAGGAGGTGGGCAGGGTGGTGGATGATGATGATGATGATGATGCTGCTACACATTTTAATTTCACGTTGACCCCGCCTCTCTCCTCAGAGTGGAGCGTTCTGTACGTCACCATAGCCTCCTTCATGCTGGTGGTTTCCGTGGCGACGGTTGTCTGGTTGATTGTGTGCTGCTGCAGCAGGTGAGTTCAGGTGAATGCGAGTCGTCCTCTGTGTGTTTAAGCTCCGCCCCTGATGGCAGGTGATGTTTCTGTTTCCTGGAAGGCGTAGGAGCAAAGCTCGGCGGAGCAAAAGTCGATATAAGATGCTGGAAGGAGACGAGCAGGAGAGTCTGGAGCTTCATCTGCCGAGAGCCGGTGAGCAACACCTGCCGCACCGACACCCGCCACCTTTAGCTAACAACCAAAACCTGAGTCCACCGGGTCAGGATGGAACCATCAGCAGACGTCATGTCTCTCGTCTTTAACTTGAACACAGCAGCGAGGACAAATGTCTCCGTTGCTGTGCCCCTTCATTGCCCCCCATGTTGACCTGGAAGACCCTGTATGGACGGACTCCTGTAGACCTGTTGGACCTCCGGCAGCCCTATGTGCTAGGACCCTCAGATCCAAAGATCATTAGCTGTTGGTTGTCCTGAGGTCCAGGCTGGTCTTCAGAGGGGATCAGGTTTCATCTCTTGGTGTTTTTAGTCTCATCTTAAAGAATATTTGTCCTCTCCAGCTGTTAATGCAGCGTGAGTTGTTTATTTGTTTATAGGTCACCTGTAGAATCTTCTTCATTCAGTTTTTGTTAAACTCATGTTGATGATGTCACAGTATAAAGACTCATGTTGATGATGTC